TGAAAGCAAGTGGTTCACAGGCTCCTACTGTTGAGATCTAAGCCATTACCATTAGCTCCAACTCTGAGTATAGAAAAAATTCATGGCTCAACCAACTATTTATTAGGTGAAGTGGAAATAACTTGATTTTTTTTAAGTAAAATGTTAAATTTAAATTTTATAAATAAAAAAATAAATGTTAAGAAAGTTTTTTAAATGAGTTTTGATGTAACTCAATTTTAAATTAATCAAAATTTAATATAATTATGAAATATTAAAAGATTAATAAGAAAAAAATCCACGGCTCAGATCCAAAGTTGGCTCCTCCTCTCTCCCCAGCCCTTTCTCCTACTAATATATGGTTTTCTATTAGTTAAGAACCAACTTCAGCCTCAAATAAATTTTGAATTTGAAAAAAATAAAAAAAGGTCACCTTAGACGCAGCATATTACGATTCTCTGTCATGCCGTCACCCACAGGTTACCCATCCATTGACTACAATATTTAAGGATTATCTTCTCTACTTTTCTTGCGGCGATATCTCTTCTTCATAATTTAGTGAGAAAAATACTTATATACAGCGAAAGCAACTTTGTTTCGATCGACAGACGGAGAAGATGGCGCAGAAGAAGTACATAATAGAGGTCGAGAAAGCGAAGGCAGCTGGAGATGGAAGACCGTCCGTCGGACCTGTGTGTCGGAGTATCTTTGCCAAGGATGGATTTCCTCCTCCGATTCACGGAATGGACAGTTGCTGGGACATTTTCCGGTGAGTTATTTTATTTTATTTTTTTTTTTTCGCGCTGTTTTTGGTCTGTTTGGTTGACGAGAAAATCAGAGTAGAAGATATTCAACTTTGATTTTTTTTTTTCCGATTTTGGAGTTAAATCACTCTTGTCACAGAAAAGCAACTTTTCGTTTTCTTTCCTTTCTCTTTTGAATCAGCTCACCATATTCGTTATTTTAAGTGTTCTTGAATCTTTTATTATGATTGGATCGAATTGCTTTATAATTAATCTGCAGTAGTTTTAGATCAACAAACACATCGATGACGATGTTCAATATTGAGATTCACCATGCCTTTTTCCTCTGCTTTTATTATTCCTCTGAATCTCTAAGTAACTGATTGTAAGATTGATGAGATTAATTCAAAATCTAGTTATGTGGAGAGTGATTTTCCGATGCATGCTTAAATCTCGTATGCTGGTTCTTATGAATAGGAATTGCCTCAAGTTGTTTGACTGATTATGTAGGAGCTTTTATTTACGTTAGAATAATGGTGAAGTTTTATTTGCAAGAGGTAATTAATGTTTCATCTTACTCCTTACAGCATGTCTGTGGAGAATTATCCTAACAATCCGATGCTTGGTCGTCGTGAGATTGTGGATGGGAAGGTATATTTTCATTGCTTATTTCTCACTACGACTTCTATTTTTTGCTCTGTATGGCTGGTTTTGGTTGTTTTGCTGGCTGAGAATGCATATTCCTATTTTCAACAGGCTGGTCAATACGTTTGGCTAACTTACAAAGAAGTTTATGACGTAGTAATCAAAGTAGGAAATTCCATTCGGACTTGTGGTGTTGAGGAGGTAAGGGCTTAAGGCACCGACTCCTCTGATTTGGAAAGTTGATGGAAACAAATATATCACTTATTTAATTATAATCCTCTATTAAAAATTTTCTGTTGGCTTGCAGGGGGGGAGATGTGGTATTTATGGTGCCAATTGCCCAGAGTGGGTTATGAGTATGGAGGTATTTTGTAATTTGTGGTTTTTTTTTTATAATCTTCTTTCATTGATTTGTTCTTTGCCTACTATTAAATTTGAAGAAAATTTTGTATACTTTGTTATTGGTCAAAAGGATAAAGGTAATTTGTAGGGTAATCTTTGATGTTTTCTGGTTGCAATGTTTCTCAAGAAATTTCATGGTTGTACGTTTTTGGTGGTATTTCTATTTCCTGGTTGATCAGAAACTCTGATTGTATTTAAGGTGGCCTTCCATTATTTGCTATTGCTTATAAGAGTACAGAGCTGCTGATTTTCTTTCATGAAGTTAATCATATTTAAGGGTTATCACTCTGTTTGTGTCAATCTTCATCCCCTTTATTATCATACTCTTCCTAACCACTACTGCTATAAGATTTACATTATCTAAGAGGTGGTCGAATAATGTATAAGACTTTTGTTTTTAGACTCAACAATCTTCTTTAAGCATTTCATTCAGTTTGATTTACATGGTACATATCTACCTTGATTTACTTGTTATAACATACTGTATCTGAATCTTATGAATATGCTTTCCCAGTTTGCCTTATCCCTTTGTTTTTTGGTTGTCTGCTTTGCCTTACCTTGGAAGTTACTAATGCAGCAGTACTGATGATGCAGGCCTGTAATGCTCATGCACTATATTGTGTACCTCTATATGACACCTTAGGTAAGCTTATGTTATTGGCAACATAGTAGCATGCAATAAATTATCACCATCACTACTTTCAAAATACCATGATTGAGTGTACGTTATGTGCACCATTTGACTTTTTGAATCTGTTAAAAATATAGTTTTGTTTTTGTGTTTTCCAACGTTTGACCATCTGTCTATGTTATAGGTGCTGGTGCTGTGGAGTTCATTATATGCCATGCAGAAGTTTCACTTGCTTTTGTCGAGGAAAAGAAGATTCCAGAGGTTCCCACACATACATACATATAAATAAACTCATTGGTAGTATGCATAAGATGTCATGATATAAAAATAGAGTGCTGCATAGTTTTGTCAAGTTTTGTAACTATATGAGAGTTCATAATGTTATCTGCTAGAAGTTTCTCTTCTCGTTGTTTCCTTCTCATTGACAGTTTATCAATTGTCCTTTCAGCTTTTTAAAACATTTCCCAACTCAACAAAATACTTAAGAAGTAAGTTGTCCCTTTCTTGAACTTTGACCTTGTGTATGGCTCTTAGTACGAATAATTATGCATTTCTATATGTTTCCTGCATAGCCATCGTGAGCTTTGGCAACATTAGAACTGAGCACAAGGAAGAAGCTGAAAATTTTGGTTTGGCAATGTATTCATGGGATGAATTTTTGCAACTGGTATGTTACACTTTATTTTTCTTTTGAAATTACATCCAATAAACGTATTTTTTGCTAGTGGCTATTGTATCTTTATACACAAATCTTTAGCAGGCAATTTGTTCATGGGATGAATATTTTTTTTTTATTCATCTGTCTATTACAGATATTTAATGAGAGCTTAGGATTTATTACTTTGTAATTCACCAGGTTATATCTTACATAATCGATATCAGTAGATATTTTGTCATCAATGAGCTGTAAATTCAAAAATATTATCAGATTAACATAGTTTAGAGATTTATCATACTCACAATATCTACAATTTCAGTCGGGAGATTTTTGTCCCATTCATTAGCCATCTGTGAGAAAGAAGGTGCAGAAGCATGACAGATTCATTTTTGTTAGAGGACTTGTTTATAGATTGATATAAATCATTGATGAGTTCATTGCAGATGATGTTCACATGATGACTTGTTTAATAAGTTTGTTGCAGACGTACCCACTACCTTTTATGAGATGACTTGTTTAATGCATTGCGTTTATTTGTAGATGACAAGTGATTCTGAATCTAAATTCTGAATACTGGTTCTTGCAGGGAGAAAGCAAACGGTTTGATCTCCCAGTGAAAAAGAAAAGTGATATTTGTACAATAATGTATACTAGTGGGACAACTGGTGATCCTAAGGGAGTATTGATTTCAAATGATAGCATTGTTACTCTTATAGCTGGCATAAGACGATTACTTGAGAGTGTAAATGAAGAGGTAACTTTCTTCTCTGTCAATTACCACATTCATCAATGAAATTATTGCAAATAAAAGCTTATACAGCTCATTTTCAACCAGTTATTTTCTTCAACTTGGTTCCCTTTTTTTTTTCTCCCTCCCTTTCCCCACAAATAAGATGCTAACTTTTTGATAAATCATCTTTCTCCCCCTTTATTTATGAAATTATACAGTTGACGGTCAAGGATGTGTATCTTTCTTACCTTCCTCTGGCACATATCTTTGATCGGGTGATTGAGGAGTTCTTCATTTCACAAGGTGCCTCTATAGGGTTCTGGCGTGGGGTGAGAATGATTACCAATTGCTCTTTCACCATATAAGACTTCAATAAAGTAGTTCTAACTTGTTCCATCCTCAGGATGTCAAACTGTTGGTTGAAGACATTGGGGTGCTGAAGCCAACTATTTTCTGTGCCGTTCCCCGTGTGTTAGATAGAATATATTCAGGTAAACCTCTCATCCTGAATGACATAGAAGTTTGATTTTGAGAATTTTCTTTAGCATAATGAGTATCCCATGTATAACCTGAAGATTCAAGATTCATCATGCTATGTTCATTCTTGAATATCTGTTGGTGGCAAATACTGTTATTTCTTTCATCTTAAACTCATTAATAGTGGCCATGTCAAACCTAATTTTTAACTGTTTAATTGAATTGGGTTTGCTTTTCAATGTTGTTTTCTAACTGCTGTTTCTCAATAAGGCACCAACATGTTCTGATTGTCAATTCCTGATTTTAGGATTTGTTCTTAAACTAGCAGAATCAAAATAATAAGCTGTAACTTATTCCATACCATGGATGACCTTTGTCTAGGGTTTGTAGTTCAAACTTGATTTGGCATTAGGTTTTGTCAAATGTCAAAAAAGTCAAGGTTATCATTTGTCAATTAATTACATCAATAAAAATGAGAAAAATGTTGCTCCAAACCACATCCTATTTGGCAATAATCTAAGTTGTTTAAATTTTATTATGTTGAATTTGTGCAATTATACCCTAAGAAACTGCATTATTGTCTGTAACACGCCTGTAACTACTGGTATGTCAGGTTTGAAAGAGAAGATTTCCTCAGGAGGCCTCTTGAAAAAGACACTGTTTGACATTGCATACTCATAGTAAGTTACATTACATTTTAGTTTTTTTTATGTAAACTGATTTCTCTTCATCGAAGTGAAGTGAATAAAATAGAAACAAGAAAAACTGTTTTGACTTTTCATCTCATCTGAGTCTGAAGCAACATAATTTTAGCCACAGCAGAACCACTGTAATCTTTTTCCTGCTGTCTGCACATCATTTTTTCCTGTCATTTTGAAAGTTAGGTTTTCTATTCATAGATGAACCAATAGGATGCACCAAATTCTTTTTGCATGTGTAATTTGTCTCATATTCATTTATTTTGTATGTTCTATCCTTGATTTGAATTTGTTGCTATACCATGGTTGGTAATGTGATTTAAGTCAATCATCAGTCATTTCATTTTGTTGCTATTTGGTCTTTACCGGAGGTACAATTGCTGCAGCAAATTCTATAATATGAGGAAGGGGCGGAAACATGAAGAAGCATCTCCAATCTGTGACAAAATTGTGTTTAGTAAGGTGGTGAACTTGTATATTTGTGTCTTCCATTGATCCCCCATCTCTTCCACCCTCAGGCCAATAATGAAGAGCTTTGTTTCATCACATTCCACCTCCTGTTCAAAAGTTTAAATCTAAATTTGTGTTGACTCTCAGGTGAAGGAAGGATTGGGAGGGAGAGTGCGACTTATTCTATCCGGAGCAGCACCACTTTCTACTCATGTAGAAGCCTTTCTGCGAGTGGTGGCATGTTGTCATGTTATGCAAGGATATGGTATGCTGTCTTTAGAAATTAGTGCTACTATCTATCTATGCAGTCTAGTTGTATTCCAACCTCAATTTGTGTTTGCTTGGTGGCACATGAACTCATTTAGTGCTTATTTTTCTCAATTCAGGTCTGACAGAAAGTTGTGCTGGAACTTTTGTATCAATACCAAACGAATTAGCAATGCTTGGTACTGTTGGGCCTCCAGTGCCAAATGTGGATATATGCCTAGAATCTGTCCCAGAAATGGGATATGATGCTCTTGCAGATATACCACGTGGTGAAATCTGTATCAGGGGAAGTACCCTATTTTCAGGGTACTATAAACGTGAAGACCTCACCAAAGAAGTCATGGTGAATGGGTGGTTCCACACAGGTATGCAAAATATTTTTCTCAAGTCATCACTGATTTATGTTTAAAGTTAAACTTCTTTTATGTTTATTATTAGGGGATATTGGTGAGTGGCAACCAGATGGAAGCATGAAAATTATTGACCGAAAGAAGAATATATTCAAGCTTTCACAAGGAGAGTATGTTGCAGTTGAAAATTTGGAGAATATTTATGGTGTTGTACCCATTGTTGATTCGGTATGCTTTCCTGTGGTTTCCATCTAAGTCATTGACTCCATGCACCACTATAACACGAGCTAGCTTTTTCATCCTACATTTATCACTTCTGAGAAATGCCCATTCTTAAATCCTTAGGCTCATTGTCTTTCAATTACAGATTTGGGTGTACGGTAACAGCTTTGAGTCATTCCTTGTTGCTGTCGTTAACCCCAACAAACAAGCACTTGAACTTTGGGCGGCCGAAAATGGAATAGATGGTGACTTTGACTCGATCTGTCAAAATCCTAAAGCAAAAGAGTTTGTACTGGGAGAGCTCACTAAGACTGGAAAAGAGAAAAAGGTTAGTTCAAGATTTAGTTTTTTGTTTTAGTGAAGTAAAATAAGAACTAATACTTTCTACTGCCTGATAATCTTGTAGTTGAAAGGTTTTGAATTTGTAAAAGCTGTTCATCTTGAACCTGTGCCATTCGACATGGAGCGTGACCTCCTGACCCCAACATATAAGAAGAAGAGGCCTCAACTGCTTAAATACTATCAGGTATCACTATCAATTCATGATGTTTCATTTTTTGTTTTACCATTATCTCCACACCCACACCACACCCCCCCCCCCCCAAAAAAAAAAAAAAAAAAAAAAAAAAAATTCCAAAAACGATCAAACTATTTTGTCGTTTATGATTATAGATTTTTTGGTTGTGATCAATTCCGCC